TTTTTCTAATTATTTTCAAACCAAAACAGTCAAACTGAAAAGTTCAGGTTAATAAACGAAGCGCTGGTTTTACTTGGAAAGGAAGCGGCGTCCATTTCTGAGCGTTCTGACTGTGACGGCGTGAAGCCACAGTTTCACAGGCCTTCGTTTCACAAGCTGTTATCTTTCATAAACTTTTCTCTGGAAGACTGTTGTCACCTTAAACGTGGGTTCGCCTTTAAAAAGGGAAGTTTAAACACAGACGCTAAAGAGTGTTTTTTTCCATTCCAATTAGCTTGTGTCTTGCTGTGCTTCACTCTCTGCAGACACACAGACGTACGTTTGTGAGCCACGGATAGGCGACCCTGTCATCTCATAAGCCCATCATGTGCATCAGGACCCGGCGGCACCCTCTCTCCGCTCAAGGCTGCGATTTCTAATTAAACCTCCTGGGGACTTCTTGAGGGCAGCAGCGGGGCTGTCAGAGAGCTGCAGACACTTTCACAGGCCTGCGAGCGGAGACTGAGAGCCCTATCAAAGTAATGAACCCGCGGCCAGACTTTTAACCCCTCATAAACTCTGCACGCTGAGGCATTCTCGCTTTAACGAGAGGAAGCGATTAAGCTGCGGGGTCACGTTGCTGACTTCAGCTTAGGAGTTGTGGTGTGCGAAGAAAGCTGCAACGTGGCCTCGGATTGTGTTTGTTAGCACCTGTGATGAGGGGAAGCTAACGATAGCACCCAAAGGCCTTCTGATCGTCTGACATCACCCAAGATCTGGCTCCAAAATCAAACGAAGCACAGACGCTGGATTCTTACGTAACGAGACTTTCATTAGAATTTAACATCCGAGCTGAATAAAAAAGAGCTCTTTGACTTATAAATAATTTTAAATCAGCTCCATAACTTCCACACAAAAGCCAGAGAGGCCTTAAAAGCACGTTGGACTAATTCAGTGAGGACAGACGCAGGCTGTCGTCACCGATAACCAAACCTCTACCTCATTCCACGCCTTACCTTTCCAAAGTCCCTGACGTCGAAGAGGTCGAAGGCCTCGAACAGCTCGCTCTTCTTCATGCCGAAGGTGTCGCTGCACGCCGCCAGGAAGGTCCTGATGTTCTTCAGGCAGAGGAACTGAGAGAGACGGAGAGGATTCAGGTGAGTCATCGGTACATGCATCACGTACGATACGACCTGTTATTATCTTCCATTTTCCTTTCTAAAGAAGCGCGTGAATGGATTCTTTTTCTACTCCGTGTGCCAGCGTTGGCTCTAATCAGGCCAACAGCGGAGGACCACGGCTCTGAGACACATGAATCAGTGTTTATGGGCACCATGAGAGCATCTTGTTTCATTAATATGATGTATTTCCTGCTGAAATAGGGCAGTGGAGTGGGGGGTAATCAGGGAGAGATAATTCAGCAGAGCAGGGAGAGAAAGGCTGAGATGTTTCTACGACTGCTAACAGCGGAGATGTCACTGTTAGGATAATCAAAAAACAATATGCTTCAGTACATAACAGTAAAATTGCATGCTCGTATTCATCCTGCTGTCGTGAGAGTGTCTTCCATAGGTGGTAACAGGACTATTAGTCAAATAAAGACGTATAAAGCAGGTACACGAAGGGCCGGGAGGTTCTTTCTTCGCTAATTTTTGCTCTCTGTGAGCATAATTACAGCTGAGGGTGCACGAAAACTGAATCAAACGATCAATAAGTAACTCTACTAATAATAAACAAGGCCGTTTACTCAGAGCGTTTTCGCCTCATCTGCAGCCTAAATCTTCCCCTAATGATCTTAATGGGATGTCCAACCCAGAAACTGTTTATCTAAATTATGCCGCTGAAAGCAGCTCGGGAGCATCAGTGAGGGTGAAAGCGTGGCGTTAGGTAAGGCCTTCTGAGGTGGTTAATGCTCTTCAGCCGCAGGAGGACAGCGAAGGGGGAAGGTGTCGACACGCTGCCGTTAGCCAACACGAAGCCTCGGTGACTGAGTCTTCCTGTAGCTGATACAAGATGGAAGGAAATAAATGAATGATGAAAGAGGTGTTTGATGAAGTAATGCTTTTGGCCACATCAGTGTGCAGCGCGGTGCTGCAGCTGGGTTTCACCGGTGATCTAATCTGTCAGTGTGCACGACTGTCAGACCAAAAACTGTCACTGTTGGTCCTTTGTTTGGTTTTTCTACTGTGGTTTGAAACAGGGGTGTCACAAGAACCGCTACTTTGGTGCCAAGTCAGGACTAATGTCTATTTTCACTGTTAACCCTTTATGGGGAAGGCGACCATATTTGGTAACTTCCTTGGGCGTTCAACATGGCCGCCCTGAGCCTCGCCGTGAGGTTGAAGAACCATGTGCACGTTGATTTAGTTTTTATAATAGTGCCAGTATCACGAAAAATGTCCCTAAACAAAAGTTCCAGGAACTTTATATGTACTTTTTTTTTTTTTAAAGATTTATTTTTGGCCTTTTCCGCCTTTATTGATAGTGACAGTGAGAGAGTGACAGAGAAATGTGGGGAGGAGAGTGGGGGAATGACATGCAGCAAATGAGCCGCTGGGTGGAATCGAACCCGGGCCGCTGCGTCGGGGACTGTAGCCCCTGCACGTGGGTCACCTGCCCTACCCGCTGAGCTATCCAGGCGCCCATGTACTTTTTTTTTAACCGTAGACGGGCAAGTTACCATATATGGTCACTTTACTGATCTTGTCTACATTTTTTTGGACACAAAAGCAAAAATATCTAAAATATCCTTCAATAACCCCGTAGGGTTGAAATTTAAAGGGTTAATGAATCTGTCAGTTAATAGCAGTTAATAGTACTGTTAGCTGTTTGGTGGCTCGGTGGTTAGCACCATCGCCTCACAGCTAGAAGGTCGCCGGTTTGCTTCCCTGATGAGGACTGCGTGGAGTCTCCATGTTCTCCCCGTGCAGCGTGGGTTCTCTCCGGGTTCTCCGGCTTCCTCCCACAGTCCAGAAACATGTTGAGGTTAAGTGGTGATTCTAAATTGTCCGTATGTGTGAATGTGAGTGTGCTTGGTTGTCTGTCTCTAAGTGTAGCCCTGTGATAGACTGGTTACCTGTCCAGGGTGGGATAGACTCCAGCCCCTACCTCCAACCCGAGTGAGGATTAAGTGGTGCATAGATGATGGATGGATGGATGTTTGATCAAAAACATGACACAAAATGGTAAAAACTGGCCAAGATAACGTCCTCAAATGTCTAGTTTTGTCCAAAACCCAAAGACATTCGGTTTGATGAACTAGAGCTGCAACTTTCTTTTTCTTGAAAATGAATCACATCATATATTGAATATCAAAACAGTTGGCAATTAATTAAAAAGTGCATATAATAATTACAATAATTCAAAGTTGCAGCTCTCGTAATACCAAAACCCTGAAACACGATGCTCCTTATGTTGAATATTGATGCAAATCGATTGCAACTGGAGCAGACGGCCCCTCCGACTGTTTCCGTGTCGACAACCAGAAAGCATTGTTCAGTTCGCAGCTATAACCACGACTTCTGTGACACTTAATGAATTCTGGCCAGAGGTCGCGTATCTAAAACCAGCTGAGGTCTGCCCAGACAGGCTTTATATGAACAGCTCACAACAACATTCACACGCTAAAGCGTTGCTGTTTTTGAAGTGTGACGGCCGATGCGTCACACTCACGACTGAGTTAGCGTGTTGAGGTGAATGTAGGTCAGAATGTCAGCTCCTGATACAAGCTGCATGCTGGAACCGTTCTGATAACCAGCAACTAGTGACTGAAGCTAACAGCTGATGTTGAAGATCAGTGTACATCTGCAGCCTGAGTGTGTGCAGCTGCTGTGGTTTTCCTAATGGTCCTTTCACAACAGAAGGAGGATGTTGAGTCGACCAACGCAGACGAGCAGCTTTTCAGAGGCGCAGAAAACATGACAAAGACTCACATCAAAGTCATTCCAAGGAAACTGGAGGACTGAGTTATATAACACAGTACTGTTTGTTTTAAACACCTTAAATGTACTACAGTCGTATTTTTTATGTTTCTTACACACTCACTATTTATTATTTGCGTTTTTTTTGGTCATACATCAGGCAACAAGGCACTGACTGTAGCATAAATAATAAAAAATGATGATGATGCTGAAATATATGAATTTAATTAGTCTATTTGTTGCTGTGGTATCAGAACTGGCGTGCAGAATTGCAGACTTTCCGACAACAGCTACCAAAGTGTCGGTATGGTTTGAGGTGCGGCGCATTAGAAGCCCTCCGTCTGTCGCGGGCGGATCATTACATGTGGCTAATGTGGCAAAGTGACGCTGGCACGATGGATTGACCAGCATGTCAATAATGACAGACAGAGACAACAAAACATCAGAGCCGACACGAGTGCAACTGTGTGGTCGAGGTTTGCACATTTGAGGCATCACGGCTGCATTAAAACTGAAGAAAGACAACCGAAAACACAGCATTGATGCTCGTATAGAAGATGAAATAACTCAAACTGTGCAAGAAAAAAGAAATCAGTCATGAGAAATCGGCACCAATAGAGCAAACCAATTGGAATCAGCTGTTAGTGTCAGATTTGAAAACTATATGAAAAATCTCAACATGATTTGACTCATGGAAACACAGGTGTAGCTGCAGAGATGAATCCTAAAGACAACCTTCTGTCTGTAGTTAAATGCTTTTTTTATCACTTTGCCCACTCTCTAACCCTCCAAATGGCAACAAGTGCTGCTCTCGCTTGCTATAAAATCTCCAGAGATCAGTTTCCATCCCACAATGACTCGTTATTCTCGTCTTCTTCTTTCTCGTCTTGGGTAACAGGTTCACAGGAAATGGATTTCATGAACCATTTCCCGTTTCTTAAAGAGAGAGCACGTGCTGCGGGCCCGTTAATACGCCGTCGAGTCTGTACCGTGATCGTGTTCGACAACTTGCGAGAAAACAATTCGTCTAAGCAAACAAAGAGCTCCGGAGAACAAGCTCGTTCTGTTATGCATAACGCACCTTCGGCCTCGTGGTACAGAGCAAAAAAAACATCTGATTTGTCTGCACGGCGCACGTCCATGCATCAAATATAAAATGCCTCTCCACTCCAATTGAATTAGGCTTTACAGATGGCTTCACAGAGAGAGAGAGCCCCCAGCCAGCCAGCTCCAGATAACAGTGCAGCAGCGAGCGAGCACTGAGTGAATAATATTGAATGTTTACACTTGTACACATCACTTTCTTTTATCAGACAAGCACATCTTGTCTGCCTGGAGTCTCTGGAGAGTCCCAGAGGACCTCGGTATATTATCTGAGGGAAGCAGCTTCACAGAGCACATATGAAAGGCTGCGTCTCTGCTGCACCGAGCCCAAGACAGTAGAGGAGGGATTGTATTAACAAGAGTGTAGCAGCATGAGGCAACCGCTAACTGTTCCACTGGCAGCTTTACTTCAGCATTAGTGACTCTCTGGGGCTCAGGAAGCCAGTGGCCTAATATGCACATGGGTGTGTGTGTGTGTGTGTGTGTGTGTGTGTGTGTGTGCACATTTGTATGCACTGTGTGTGCAAACCGAGTCAATACGGTGAACTAAGATGAATGTAGGGACGTATGAATATTGTCATTTCAGTCATGTGAATACATTATGTTGACTCCTTAGTTTTGAGGGAAAATGGAAAGAAATGGTTCTGCCATTAACAGTGATTATATTATGAAGGAGTAATGTGTCATTGAGCACAACATGCTGTGTCACCTTCTGGAGAGCTAGAAGACAAGCAGCCAGTTAGCTTAGCATAAAAACTGGAAGGAGCTAGAATGGAACTACCTGCTACTCTAAAGTCCACTAATTAACCAAATCCAAGAAGAAGAAGAAGTCTGAAGAAAGAAATAGCCCAAAGGAAAACTACCCTTATTCTGCAAATTGTTTTTTTTTTTTTAGAGTAATCTAAGCTAACAAGCTTCTTTGTTTGTTTTTTTAAGTGCTTTTCTGCATATTTATATTCTTTTTTATAAGTGTAACCCAGCTGGGGAAAAACGGTTTAAATAGAAATAATTTGTAAACAATTAAATTGTCAAGTTTTAAATTAATTATTTTATTTATCTTAATTTTATTGGTAAACACTAAAATAGTGATCACCTAAAAACAATATTAG